TATCATTATGCCATTACTGAATTAAAAACATGAGGTGACACAATTTAAACATTTTTTTTTCCATCCTTTTTTCCAAGAGCTGTTTCAGCTTGATTGTCACTCAATATAAGCAACAAAAAGAACTACAAATACAAAAAGACTTACTTTGAAAATCTTTGTATTCTTCCTCAAGACTATTGTCAGTTTTTTGTATAACTTCATTGTCACCAACTTCGATCTGGACTTTACTAGGGTAGGATAAAAATAAGGTAACAACAATATACTACTTAATACAATCATATTAAGTGCACTACTAAAACTGAGTCTCTAAATCACATACAGTGGCTTTGTTAAGTCAGTCTTGACCACTCCTGTTAAAATTATATCGCAATAGATATTATCATTAAGTTGGACAGCCAGATCAGTAACCTGAAAGAAGCTTGGCATGAATAGCATGTCGTATGTTTACTTTTGAATTTTGAAATCCAATTATGAGAACAATCTAAGTGAGAGTCTGTGACTTCCTCTCAAACGTGCAGATAAAGCTGGGTTGAATTGTCTTGAATCTGCTGCTTGGAAGGCTTAATGAAGATGAACACTACTTTGTTAATAGAAAAGTGAAGGCATCGCTATGAGAATATCAAGATAACGTGAGGTTGTTATAGACCATTGTTGGTCAGAAGAATGTTGTGAACAGGGGATGAACATGACCAACTCTGAGCCAGGAGAAAAATATGACTGATCATTCAGCTTCATGAAAATAATACTCCTAGTCATCTCAGGCCCCACACAACTCGCTGCTTAATGCCCAAATTATAGGGCTTCCAGATTTAGCCGATCCCCACTCCCGAAGCACATTTATCTACTTGAATCAGAGATTCAGTGTTAAAGTTCAGAGAACATTTTTCACCAATATTTCTAGTTTTTAATGCTGACCAAATCAGCAGTAACTCAGTTAGAAGAAGCATTATAATACTCAGGTAGCACGACTGTTTCTTTTTTACATAACAATAAACAGTTAACCAGAAAGAATCCTGGAAAAATACAGTAAAAAGGATGCATAAGTGTAAGGAACAATCAATACTAAAGCCAAAATTTTTATATCCAATATACTGTTTATTATTGTTTCACAGCAACAAATTCAATAAGAAATGTGGAAATAAAACAAACAATCATTAGAATCAACACAGAGTATACACGCACCTCGCACACAAAAATGGTTGTTAGTTTCGTTTTTAATATTAAAAGGTTTGAGAAATAGGACTCGAATTCTTTTCCCAAATGAAAGATAACAATAAATTTGTCCTTTGTAATTAAAAAACAACCAATTGATAGACGTGTGTGTGTATCAAATTACTTTCAAAAAGTCATAATTTACTTCCCCCTATTCGTTGGTTTAATGAAATACAGTAAAGCCTATAATTTAAATTGTTATTTTAGTATTTACATTAGGCATCAAAGGCAGATTAAGTTACTAAGAAAAGTAACAGTTTATGATCAGCAAAAAAAATCTTTCATTTGAGTTGGATATGTATTACTTAGGAGCGAAATAAGCCTTATACTACATGAACCAATAACACACACACACACACACACATAAGTCGGTATATTAACGTCCAACACTCACCTACTACAATCCGTCCTACCTAATAATACACCAGTTACAAATTTGAAACCACACACACACAAATCGGTATATTAACGTCCAATACTCACTTACTACAATCAGTCCTACCTAATAATACACCAGTTACAAATTTAAAACCACACACACACACACACATAAGTCGGTACATTAACATCCAACACTCACCTACTACAATCAGTCATACCTAATAATACATCAGTTACAAATTTAAAACCACACACACACATAAGTCGGTACATTAACATCCAACACTCACCTACTACAATCAGTCCTACCTAATAATACATCAGTTACAAATTTGAAACCACATGCACACATAAGTCGGTACATTAACATCCAACACTCACCTACTACAATCCATCCTAGATACTACTGCCATCAGACTTGAAGACTGGCAGTCATGGACGTTTACTAATCCAGCCACATCTTCTTCATGTTTAGCCTCACTATCAAGTGTGGAACTGGAAGCAGTTGAGAACAATGGTGTCAATGTTGTTGTTGTCACTCCCACATTCCTGCCAGCAGTCGTTGTCAAGGCTGTGGTAGGGGTGATGGAGGACTACAGGAAACATATTTATACCACTGAATTCAACTTTACAGAATATGTTTTCAACTGTAAACTGGAAAGTATGACCTACTGGTCTTCATAATCATGGACGTCACGGTATATAGTTTGAGAGTTAGCAGACTGCACCGTGTTTTCTACCAGTATGTCCACAAAGGTTTTCTCAATAGTTTTATGATAGTGTAGCTTATAAGTTCAGTAAGATAATACATAACTCGATCTCTCTCTCGTCAGTTTTTACTAAAATATTTTATCACTTACATTAATGAGCAGAAAAATGACAATAAAAAGTATTAATACTAAATCGTACCCAAAAGATTTAATTAGTACTGAATAGCAGAGTAAAATATACAAACCTGATATACTTCTCAAAAATAACTAGACAATAAAACCCACCTGTGTGGCTGAATGACCGTAGGAGGAGGGTTTAACCAGTGTACGAGTCCTCTTTCGAGCTGATTGTTTCCTAATCAGTTGTTTGTAATTCTCACTTTTTTTAGTAAGGTAATAGTATTGGACACAGTCGGCAACATCCTGATGAAAAAAAGGGCAAACTTATCTTTTTTTTTTACACGGATGATGATGACGATACTGAGATATTTCATTACAGAAGTATACCTAAACCTGAAATATTTTTATTACAGATCAATTTGTTTGTTTGTTTTGAATTTCGTGTAAAGCTACACGAGGGCTATTCGCGCTAGCCGGCCCTAATTTAGCAGTGTAAGACTAGAGGGAAGGCAGCTAGTCATCACCACCCAGTCCCTAATTTAGCAGTGTTAAGACTAGAGGGAAGGCAGCTAATCATCACCACCCACAGCCAACTCTTGGGCTACTCTTTTACCAACGAATAGTGGGATTGACCGTCACATTATAACGCCCCCACGGCTGAAAGGGCGAGCATGTTTGGTGGGACGGGGATGCGAACCCGCGACCCGAAGATTGCGAGTCGAGCGTCCTAACCACCTGGCCATGCCGGGCCAATTTACAGATCAAAATATTTAAATAAACTTTTTAGAAAACAGCATGTTTCGTGAAATTTTCAACAGTTTGAAACGGCCACAACGTCAGTAATTATAAATTTGTTACTGATCTTTGGACAGTATGAATTGTTACACGTTTCCATTCAAATTTTGCCACCCGATATTGGTAGGTAAACCCAGCAAAATGTGGTGTAACTTTAAGCATTGTTACTTGCTTATCTACAAATAAAGATACTTTTTTACGCTGACAATAGTCATCATCAAAGTTATTAACACGTATTTATGACGGAAGATTAATGAGCAGATTTGTCAAAAATAGAACATAAAGATAAAGTGAAAATGAGTAACGACAACTTTAAAATCAGATTCACGTTTTTTTATCACCTTTACAACCTCTGAATCATCGTCTCTTCCTAACAGAACATAATTTTTGGTTGGAATCATTTTGAAGACAAATTACCTTAAAAAGATTTTTTTTTAAAACCCGTGGGAAAATTTTCACAAAATGACAATCATTAACATAATTAAAAAAAAAAAAATTTTAAAGCTTTTTTATCTACAGATAAAAACCTTACTAGGACTATTTATCGTGTCGACGTAATGAAATACCTTGATAAAATAATCTTCAAACTATCCTCTGGTTTGAGTGAACAGGTTAGCTACATGAGAAAAACTCGAGTTAATGAAAAACGTTTCACGATTTTTTTTTCCTT